GCAGTTCCGGAGGAATGTCACAGATGTCACAAGGGGTGGGGGGTGTAGGGTGCCAGTGTCTGCTTTGTCCTTAGCCAGCCTTTTGCTCCCTTATCAGGATCACGACCTGAGCCGAAGGCAGATGCCGAACCGACTGAGCCACCCAGGTGCCCCCAAACAGAGAATTTTACACACAAGAACCTGGGGCCCCTGGCTGGCTCAGTCAGTAGAGCATGCAACCTGTGAGCTCAGGCTCGTGAGTTCAAGCCCCACATTCTGTGTAGTGATTACTTAAAAAAAAAAAAAAAAAAAGATAAAAATAAAGTGAAATCCTACCTCAAAATAAATAAACAAAATATAAGAACTTACAAGTATACGTTCCATGAGTGAAATAAGCTAAAAGAACATATTGATATTATTATGGAAATCATGTGAACTTTGTCCACATGATGTCTCCGGGACCTCCCCTGGGGTCCCTAAACCAAACTCTTGAGACCTGCTCAGAAGGCGTGTATAAACCTGGGATGGCTAGGAGCGCAGAGTGTGCCCCAGTGTGTGGGCCACCCCGACGTCGGGCCTCAACACTTTATTATAAAATTTATTATATATATTTATTATCAAATAGGTCAGGTCTCTGATCAAATGTTTATTTCTCATAGACATGCTCCCTGAACACCTTAAAATCATACCCCATCAATCTCTTTAAAAAGATTTATTTATTTTGTTATTTTTTGAAGATTTTATTTATTTATCTAACAGAGACAGATCACAAGCAGGCAGAGAGGCAGGGAGAGAGAGGGAGAGGGAAGCAAGCTCCTTGCTGAGCAGAGAGCCCAATACGGGACTTGATCCCAGGACCCTGAGATCATCACCTGAGCTCAAGGCGGAGGCTTAAGCCACTGAGCCACCCAGGCGCCCTATTTATTTATTTTAGAGAGAAAGAACACAAGACCAGCGTGGGGGAGGAGGGTCAGAGGGAGAGAGGGAGGGATAGTTTTCTTTAAGATTTTATTTATTTATTTGAGAGCGAATGAGAGAGAGTGCGTGTACACACACACACACACACACACACACACGCACTAGCTCAGGGAGGAGGAGCAGAGGGAAAGGGAGAAGCAGACTCCTGCTCAGCAGGGAGCCCTGATGCAGAAGCTCAGATGTGGGGCTCACTCTCAGGACCTTGAGGTCACAACCTGAGCCACAACCCAGATTCCAATGCTTAACTGACTGAGCCACCCAGGCGCCCCTCACCCCATCATTTTCTATCCCTTCCACTGGCTTATTTCTCTTCATAAAACTTCATAACACTCCACCAGGCACTGTATCATACATCTACTTGGTGATTTCTTTATTTTTAGCCTCTCATTAAAATATCCTCCAGCAGAACAGGATTTTTGTCCCGCCTCCCACCACTGCTCTATCCCTAGATCCTAGGGTAGTACGTGGCACATGGAAGGTACTCAGTAAACATTAAATAGTTTTGAATGAATGAATGAGCAAATGGACATATTTTCCCATTAGCCATTGCCCCAGCTGGACTTTGACTTCCCTGAGGCCAGAGCCTGTGTGTGTCTTTGTGTATTCTCAGCACGTAATATCTGATGGAAGCAGGTATCCAGCAAATGTATGTAAAAGGGAGAAAAGAATATATACGTGAGGGAAAGTAGATGAATGGCTGCCTGGGGCTGGTTGTGAGAATGGGGAGTGGCTGCAAAGGGGCCCAAGAAATCTTTTTAGGGTAGGTGCGCCTGGATGGCTTAGATGGTTAAATGTCTTCCTTTGACTCCGGTTATGGTCCTGGGGTCTTGGGATCGAGCCCCACTTGGGGCTTCCTGCTTAGAGGAGAGCCTGCTTCTCCCGCTCCTGCTGCTGCTCCTCTTGCTTATGCTTGCTCTCTCTTTCTGTCAAATGAAAAAATAAAATCTTAAAAAAAAACTATTAAAGCAAAATGTGTGTTGAGGGAGAATGTTGAGGGTGCCTTGGTGGTCATCTGAGCCTTACTCTGTGTCCCTGATTGTGGAGTTACAGTGGTGACCCAGATGGCCTTTGTCCCTTGCCTTCACAGGCCAACAGTGACAGCCCTGGGGATGGGGGTGTAGAGAGCAAAATGGAGTCTCTCATGTCAAGCAGGAGCCTGTGTCAAGGAATGACGCAAGCAGTTAAGGTACCGCAGCTAGGACATATCACCGGGACCAACGTCAGCTGACACCCAGACTTGATAACGAGCAGAACCGGAGGAAGTCAGCAGAGACCCCAAACCGAGGAAATCCCTTTAAAAGAGATAGGATTTTGGCAGCAAACTGTTGAGACTCTTCAGACCTGATTCCTCTCTGTCTTGACACTTTAAAAAGGCAGCTGCAGGGGCGCCTGGGTGGCTCAGTGGTTTAAAGCCTCTGCCTTCAGCTCAGGTCATGATCCCAGGGTCCTGGGATCGAGCCCCACATCGGGCTCTCTGCTCAGCAGGGCACCTGCTTCCCTTCCTCTCTCTCTCTGCCTGTCTCTCTGCCTACTTGTGCTCTCTCTGTCTGTTAAATAAATACAATCTTTAAAAAAAAAAAAAAAAAAAGGCATCTCCTCCCAAAGACTCTCCCAATTGCTCTCCGAACAGAACCGAGATCCTTCTGTGCTTGAACATCAGAAGCAGTAGGTGACCCCGCCTGGGGGCTCAGTTGGTTAAGCGTCTGTCTTTGGCTCAGGTCATGATCCGGGAGTCCTGGGATGGAGGCTGCCCATGCAGGGAGTCTGCTTCTCCCCCTGACCCTCTCCCCTCTCATGATCTCTCTCACTTTCTCTCAAATAGATAGTATCTTAAAAAAAAAAAAAAAAAAAAAAAAAAAAGGCCCCAGTAGGTGCAAAGAGTTGACCCCGACCTTGCTTTTGGTCCGTTCACTTTCTGCCCCCTTCTGTCCTCTTGTTTGTCGTGTGGCTTGTCTTCTGTCCCGCTCTGTGCGCTGGGTAAGAAGCCATGTTTAATCACATGGTGAGGTGTCATTGAGCTTGGAATCCTGAACCTGCTTTAGAGTTGTGATTTAACTTTGCTTCGTGATTGAACAGAGGCGACGTCGTGGAAAGCCCCAACTGGTGCGTGCGCCTTCGTAGCGTCCTTGTGATAGGGGGCCAGACCTGGGGAGGCGTGGGGCAGGGTGCTCAGGGAGGAGCGGGAGGCGTGGGGGATGGGAGGAGTCAGGGAGCATTTACTGAAGGAGCAAACGGCTGAACCAGAGCCTGAACAATGTTGTTCATGACCGCGCCGCTAATTTTGTTTTTATCCACGCATGCGTGTATGTATGTGCTTGAACACTTTTTCGGCCTTAGCGTCGGTCCTGCGGGTCTCTCCTTCCGAGCCCTGGTCCGGCTTGCCGAGGACAGGGCCACAAGGGGGCGCTGCTCTCCCGCGCTCGCGCTGATCCCCGCAGCCTTCCCGGAGCCGGAGGTCTGGCGGGGGCTGTTTGTCGGTGGGGGACGTTTCCGTAGAGACCCGGCGCAGGGGGCGGCGAGAGGCGCGGGGGCCCGGGGAGCCGCAGGGCGCCAGCGCGGTGGGGTCTGTTCCCCCGGCTCGGGGGCGGGGTACCCCTGGGCTGCGGCGCCCTGTGGAGCTTTTCCGAGAGCAGGGGGCGCTAAGCACTAGCCCTTCGGTGGGACGTTCCAAAAGAGCCCTTGCGGCCTCCCTGGTGCCTGGAGAGAAGGCATCGCGAAGGGCGGAACCCCCCAGAAAGCACGAGGAGGGGCTCACGTGGCCTGTTCCCCGAGGGAGGGGGTGGCGCGGGGAGCCGCTGTGAGGGTGGGCAGAGCTTCCTAGACAGAACTGGAAAAGGGGCACTGAACCAGCCTGGGCTGGGTGGTCCCCGCGAAGTGACCTTGGTGGCAGTGGGGTTGGGATGCCCCACGCGGGTTAGGTGGGAGGAGGTTCCCAGATAGGGCAGGGGTGTTAGGTCTATTCTGAGAGCCCAAGCTTGGGGGGGAAGTGAGTGGGTTACCCCCAGGTCTGTGTTTTCTGTGAAGGGAGAAGCACCCTGAAGAACCGGTCTCCATGGGGTGTGGGACCCAAAAAACAAGAGACAGACTTAAAAAAACGTGCTGCTGTGTCAGATGACACTTTGGCCTAAGTTATAGAAAATGCAAATTGACCAATTTTCCAGCTCAAAGATCTACTGTTCCAGAGCTGGTTATTGAGAATTTCCATACTCGACTAAGAAATACAAAAATGACATTTCAATACTGAACTGATTAGAAGCAGATTATAATATTTTGAATTCTTTGGTTCAGACTCTGTTAAGAATTAGAAATCGGGGTGATTAATTTTGGGTCCCCTTTAATACCCAACCTCTCAAATGCTGGGCCAGCATTCCCTCCTACCATGTTATGACTCAGAGGTTATGGTCCCTCTTGTTTTAGGAGAGGACTCAGGAGAAAAGGCTCTGCTACTGCACCATCCCCGCCCCGACACACCCCCCACTGTCCCGAGGGGCGTCATTATATTCTTCCTTTATTGGCTGTCCTTGTATAATACAAATCTGTAAGTTTAGATACAAAAAAATCTGGAAATAAAAGATAGAAAAGTACCCGCCAGGCGCCCCCGCCTCCTCATCCCGGACCCCTCCCCAGCGGGCACTGACGTGAGGTAACTGAGCATCTCCTTCCCCTTCCCCCTACCCCGCCTCCTGGGCCCCCAACTTGGCCCCCACCCCCATGAGACCTTGGCCCAGGGAAGATGTGGGCCCCCCCCAAGTGGGGGAGAGGGGTGATCCGGGTGAGCACAGCATTGGCAGTGAACGCAGCAGGTGGGCAGAGGGAAGCCCTTTGCTTGTGCTGTGTATGGGAGGGGATGACCAGACTTGGGGTGGGCCCTAGTGGGCCCAGAAGAGCCCCGAGGCAGGCGTCCCTTTTCCATCCCACCCGACACTGGAAGGTGGAAGATCAACGACAGAAACTGGGAGATGTTGCTTGAACTGAGGGCACTCAGCGGGACTGCGGCCATCCCACTGTGTGTGCGGGTGGGGGTGGGGGTGGGGGTGGGGAGGGCATTGCCAGCCTAAGTCTGGCAGTGAAATGGGTCCCTTAGCCAGGCCGGGTCCATCCCTGAATTCCATCCTGTCACAATCTGGGCATACAATGTCAGTTCTGTAGTGGTTGCGGGGGGTGATCAGGGGGCTGGAGGGGATGTTGGGGGGCACAGCCCCAGGGTGTGGGACTAGGGAGAGAGGTTGGGCCTCCATGCCCAGCTGTGGGGCACCAGGAGATGCTGGGACGGGCAGGGTAGCTCGAGCTACAGTTCAATCTCGAAGGTCTTCTGCAGGTCGCCGGAGAAGGGGTTGGAAGGTTTTTCAACAGCCGGTTTGCCTTCTAATGCTGCCCACTGGGCCTCAAAGGGGTCCAACTCAGGGGCCGGGGCAGGGGCCGGCTCTGGGGGCCACGGTGCCCCATTGGGACGTGGGCGGGCCTGGCCCCCGGGGGCAGTGGCCATGGCTGGGGGTGGGAAGGCTCCAGCCTTCCCGAGCAGGGTGGCGGGCTGGGGCTGGAGCTGGGCGGCAGAGCAGAAGGCGTTGGCCACCATCTGTGAGGGGGTGATGCCCACCACGGGCACCCGGGGCACGGGCGGGTAGCCCAAGCCCGGGTAGGCAGGCACAAACGGGGGCTGCATGTGTGGGGGTGGCAGGAACACGGCCACCTGGGCAGGTGCCGCATCGAAAGGCCCCACGGGGCCAGGGAAGGGCTGCAGAGCGGGGGCCACAGGGGGCACGGAGGCCGCTTGCTGCTGCTGCTGCTGCGCCTTGGCCACTTGGGACACCTCCTCCAGCCACCTCTCGGCCTCCGAAGGGGTCCGCTTGTGCCCAGGCTGGAAGGTAGTTGAGGGGGGCGCGGAGGACTCACCCCAGGCAGAAGTCCCTAGAGAGAGGAGAGGGGACAGTTGAGAGAACCCTAGGCTGGGGGTTGGGCCCTGCCGCTCACTACCTGTGTCGACTTCGGGGCAAACTGCTTAACCATCCCGGACCACGGGCTGGTTCCGAGCGCTCAGAAAATACAGTTCTGAGAGTCTCAGGTCCTAAGATGGAAAAGTACAGGCAAGACTGACCGTCACCAGCCCAGCTTCCCTTCTGATGGGTCAGGGCCAAACCTGTTCCTAAATATTTTTGATAGCACCCTTAGTTCTGATTATTTTGACAATGTATCGTTTTGGGAGGCTAAAATTCTAAGATGGTGTAAGTCTTTGTCGAGGGGTCCCATACATTTCCAACATAGCGAGGTTCACTGGTTTTAAGGTTGTGCTTTTGAAGATTCTAGAGTTCTAAATTTATACTGCACTTCCGAGGGCTTCTGTGGTTCTAGGATAAGCTCATGGCTCTAAGGTGATTCCAAGGCTTCGTGGCTATGAATCTGGAGGTTCTAATATCCTGTGATCCTAAGACTGTGGGTTTCTCAATTTTATGGTTCTGAGACCGGAAGGTTTAAAACGGATCCCGTGGTTCTAAGTTGACCCCGTGGTTCTAGGATGAACCCATGGCTCTGAGATCACCCTGGGATTCTAAGATGATCCAAGGCTCAAAATTGATTCCATGGAGCTGGGATGGTCCCCTAGCCCTTAGATGACCCACGGTTCTAAGCTCGTGGGATTCCTAGGTTCCCGGCGTCTGGACGGAGCAGGGGCCTGCAGGCGGGGCGCTGCGGGGAGGGCGCTGCGGGGTGGCCGCTACAGGGGCTGGGTTGGGCTTACCTGCTGCGGCTGGTGGCGGCCCAGGTGCTGGGGCTCCAGCACTGGCGAAGGACGAGCTGATCTGCGTGCACAGAGCGCTGATGCTGTCGCTGTCACTGGCACCCGGAGGCTCCATCTCGGGCACTGGGAAGTCAGGGAAGGGTGGAGGTCAGCCAAGGGGCCCAGGCCCTCAGGTGGCCCCCTCTGACGACCTCTGGGGTCATGGGGTGTGGGTCATGGGTCCACTCTGCGGTGACCAAATGGATCTAGGCATGTGGCATCTTGTGATTACCAAGCATGAGCCAATGCAGTACCCACATGTGACCCACGAGTGTTTTCACGAGTGCGTGTGAATCTGAGCTGTGACCTCCAAGTCTGCGTGATCCTGGGCGTGTGGCTTGTGAGTGTGTGTACGTCTGCATGGGTTAGCTGGGTACGTGCCCAAGGGCATGTTAATGGAAACACCAGCTTCTGTGACTTCCCAGTGTGTGTGACTTCTGTGTGTGGCCCCTGTGACTCCTATGGAGCTGAAAATTCGGGGCGGGGGGGCAGGTCACACCCAAGCAAGCGTGCCACTGCCTCCGGGCACACAAAGCTTCCAAATCAAGGGGAGCCAAGGAGTGTGTGTGCGCCAGCCCGGGGGTGGGTGATGGCCGTGGTACAATATGGGACAGGGAGTGCATGTGTATCACTCTCAGCCAGCACTGGCGTCTGCCCAGCAGTCACCTTTGGGAGCAGCCCAGCCTTCAGGACACAGAGCAACACCTCCATGCCAATCCCCAAGGCCATAAGAGATGGGTGTCTCTGATTTGGCAAATGGAAACAGGACCGTGGGCCGGACCACGTGACTTACAGACAGCTGGGAGGAAAGGCAGCCCGCTTGCCTGTTTCCCTCAGACAGAACACAGTACTGGGCCACCTCTCTTCCCTCTCTTCCCACACAGACCTGGCTTTTTAGATCATGACTTTTTTTTTTTTTTAAAGATTTTATTTATTTATTTGACAGAGATCACAAGTAGGCAGAGAGGCAGGCAGAGAGAGAGAGAGGGAAGCAGGCTCCCCGCTGAGCAGGGAACCCGATGTGGGGCTCGATCCCAGG